TGCGAAAGCAAAAACACACTTGTGACGGTAATAAAAATATTAGTTTTCACGCTCTGCACGTCTACAGTCGCACAAAACATAATATTGAACAATAGATAAAGCAATAATAACTAAAAAAAAAAGATTCTTTGACAAATAATAATATAATAATAAAAAAATCTTCTTGGATAAAACTTCTTGGTTCTATAAATTAATTCATTTTAATCTAAGAGTAATTATCAATTACTTCACACGATTTAATAATAAAGCTGTAAAATGATTAATGACAAAGTACTAATTCTCTTATGAACATTTTCAAGAACAGACAGTTAACGATTTGCTCAGTTAAATTCTCAATTACACGTATCAATTATTGTTAAATGATCATTAAGAGTTATAAATATATGTTAGGTATATGATTATATAGAACCAATGGAAAGATAGAATGATTTGTTGATTTATGAAGAAAAGCATAGAAATATTAATAATAATCGTCACGACAAATCAGAGAAATTTTCACATGGACTGTAACTTTATTAATTACTTTGTTGAAAATGTATCGAAGAAACTTGATGTATCAAAGAAAATTTTTTTTGTCAATTTTCCAGAACATTTCCTAGCTTCAATATTAAAACTTAATATTAGGCACATATGGCTGTCATGGTGATTAAGGGACACACCTAGTGTGAAATTTTCAAAAAATCGATTTTTCAATTTTTCCATATTTCGATAGGTTATACCTTTAAAAATAACATACTAAAATTTAAATTCATATCTCAAACAGTTTTTGTGTCACAGCCATTTATAGAGTATATATGTAGTATATAGTATAACTATCATTTTATCTTTAAATGCGTTTTTCTCGAAACAGCATTTTCCGAATTTGCTGCAGTGATTACTCAAAAACAAATGATCCGATCACTATCAATTTTTTTTTACATGTTCTATATATAGTTCTCCGTAAAATGAACTATCGATTTTTTGATCGAATCAAAAATCGAATTTTGGCAGTCCAAAAACGACCAAAATATTGGGTAAAATTCGACTTTTTTTTAAAAAAAAACGCCGCCATTTTGCCAATTTTTGATTTTTTTATCGCAGGTCATTTTACAAACTATATTATCTAGTTTAACGAGAATTTTTTTTTAGATTTCATCCACCTAGAAGACCGGAATCACTGCAGCAGTGAAGAGCCGTTTTTTAGCGCCTTCGGAGATTGACAATAACATAAAAAATATTGAATTTTTTTCTTCAAAAATTTTACTATGTATTCTTAAAACATGTGTAAATATATTCTTAAAATTTTAAAATAATTGATAAAGTATTTTTTTTAATATAAATTCCCAAAAATCTTTTTTAGGCGGTTACACTAGTTGTGCTCCTTAAGGTCTTGATATAACTTATATTAATTATAATTGGATTTCGATTTCGTATTGAAATGCAAGTTTTTCGTGCTCATTGGCTTCAGAAATTTTCAATAAGTATAAAAGATATTTTATCAAAAATAGTGATTACTCAACTCGGAACATGACTAATAAAGCGCGATCATTCGAGAGAAAAACTGCAACGTTCGGCAGCGATGCGCAGCGGCGGTGCTGTCCCGATTCATCACAGACGCGATACATTTCGCACAGTAGTGATGGGAAAATATTCATTGGCATCGTCGACATTAAAAAAAGAATTCATTACATCAAAAGTAAAGAGTTGTGTCCAGTGAACACAAAAAGCACAACTAAGAAAATCTACACCGTGTGTGGAAACTTAAGCGTGGACCTTGTTTATATGTTTATTATTAATCCAAATAGTTGGAAGAGATTGATATCAACCTTCTGCAAATATTTTTCCATCCTTATTGTTCAAATCCACCGGACATCGAAGCCACAGCACGAATGGGCGAAAAAACAACTCACAAGACGACGAGACTCACGGTTCGCTTGTGGCATACAATAAAATATACTACAATGCACCACACATTTTTATTTCGCGATTTATATAATGCGCTCTCGTACAAGTTCCAGCAGGGTAAGCTAGGTGAAAACGTTCAGCATTGTGCAACAGCCGTACATCGGTGTTAAATCATTCTACATTTCTGCTGATTAAAATTATGAAATGATAAAAAATAGGAATGCTAAACATTTTTGCTCTAATATAATTAAAAAAATAGTAATGAGATATAGAAGTCAATTTCTGGATAAAATAGGTATGTTATGGTAATGTTATGTTACGAATCTATATTCTGTAGTGGTATTCACCCCTTTGTAATAATTATAAATAATATTATAAATTACTATATAACAGTCAAAGATGAACAACGCAGTTAGTATTACTCATAGCTACATGTAAGCTTGCAGTAACCTTGCAAGTGTTGATAAAATTCCTTTTGAAACCACAAACTGCGCCTTACGACCAAGTTAAGCGTAGTTTCTGACTCACATATAACGAACATTCTAGAAAAGGATTGCGTCATACCAATAAGGAGTATTTAAGGTTCTGGATGATGCAATAAACAGTCAGTTTGAGATTAGGTTTTATGCGTAAAATATGTGACCGCACAGTAAATACATAGCTTTTTGACAGTTTGTTACTACCAACTCATACAAATATAGACCCATAAGATAGAAGTAACATAACAAATACCCATTATATCCAAAAATTGGTCTCCTAATTTGGTATAATCACTTTCAGTGTCACTCATGCTCAAAACAGGTATATTTTTTCAGAAATGTAATTGGAAAAAATGTCAAGCTTTTTTCGATTGCAATAAAAACTTCGACATGTTTCTTATTAATGATAAATCAATAACTACAGGTTCTGTGAGGTTCGTACGTGCTCTTTAAACAATAGGTGTACTAAAGTATATGAATAAACCAGTCTTTCTCAAAGTAGGCGATTGTAATATCCAGAGGGGCGATAAGAGACCCCTAACTAAATTTTGATACATGTATATACTGTTTTAAGTAGTTTTATTTGTTCTCACTGGTAAAATTTTCTAATTCAGAATGTAAGGTTACATCAACTAATATAGCACACTATAAATATATTATTAAAATTTAGAAAGAAATGTTTTTTTAGAGATTATATAGATATAAAAAATTTGGTAAGGGAGCGCTACAAAAATTTTGATCTTCAAAAGGGGCGTTGGAAAAACTTAGTTTGAGAAACGCTGGTATAAACCATCAATTAATGTGATAAAAATATAGATGATGCAAGAATTTTACAAATTTCCAGAAATCTATCAATACCAAAACGCTTGATCATGGATTCACAGCCATAGTAATATAGCCGTGATCACAAAATGATGCGGCGACAGTAAAATTTCGCAATCAAGCCGTTGTAAAACGTCACGTTCCAAGACTGCTGCCAAAGCACAAGGTGAATGTCTCCGAATGCGTCTTGGGCAACTACACCTAGTGTTCTCTAACACACATAAACCAATTATTTAATTCCTGAGAGTAAGAAGTGTTTGTGTAGAAGCATACAGATGGATTTTCAAGGTTTTTATTTGAGGTAATTTAAGAATTTCGTAATGTTTATGGTAGTAGAAGCTAAAAGCAACAAAACAATGACATCCAAAATGTACGCATGGGAAAATGTTGAAAATAAAAGTTGTGAACGCACATGTAAGCTACAGTCAACAATTAACGACTAATGTGTAAATTAAATTTACAATTTTGTGCAAATTGTTTTGATTTAAATCGCAAGTGTTATTTATAATATAGAGAATTCTTGTAAAAATATATATTAGTAGTTCTGACAGAATTTAGTAAGTTCTAGATTCCACGAAAATCATATTGAAATTCAACTTTGATATTTAAATGTAAAACTCTATAAATAAGACAGCTAATTTCTGACTGAGCCAGAAAGAATATAAAAAGGTTAATTTTAATTTCATCATAAATTATTTCCTTAGAAAACCCTTTACGTAAAAAGAGTATTTCCTACATCTACGAGCTTTTTTTTGCCTAAAAATATTTATATTCAAAGACGAGTGTAGGCGTAAACAATGAATTTCTTAAACAGGGTAATGATAGCACCTGCCGTTCAAAAAATTATACCGCGTGCTAATTGGCATTTATCAACACATAATAGATTTAATGAAAGAGAGTGTGGGTACGCACGCGAATTGAAATGTCATCATGTCAATGTCACTATGACCGTACGCGATAGGACAGATGAAATGCTGGTCTCTAACTTAGAGAAAACATAAATCATATTTTAGAAAGATAACTCGATTTGATTATAATACGGATTACGCTACATTTATCAAAGATAAACGGCGTCTCATAAATGCGAAATGGCAACGTATAATTATGTTCTCCCAGTGCTAATCATGATGGCCTGGGATCCATCATTAACGATATCGATCATGGTCATTGCGTTAATTTATGTACAGTCTTTTTTGTACTTGGCAATTATAGCAATAATGACCTAGAGAACCAAGTGATCATGAAATATTTAATAATATGCACATTTGTTCTTTAAATCATAGAGAATCACAGAAATATTACATAATAGATTATTTGAATGATGAGGAATGCTTGGAAAACAGAGAAAACTTCATACCATCCTGTTCGAGCCAATCAAAGCATGCGGTTATATTGATATATAAACAAAAAATCACCAATCGATAATCATACAAAAATCAAATCAATCAATACGTTATCAAAAACAATATTGAAATTATTATAAATACGATGTAATTTATGTAATTAATATAAAATAAATATTACTAATTACAAATTGAAGTATTTTATAATTGGTCCTTCAAAAAGCAAAGCAATCAATCACAACAACCATCTAAAAAAAACATTGGTCCTTCGAGCCGGATGTGACGTCCAGCAATCGAAGGAAATAGAATTCATCAAATTGGAAGCAAAAGGAACAGAAATCGAGTTACTTAAAACTAACAATTTCTTCAATTACAATCCGTGTCAAATTAAAATCACTAAAAATGAAACAACCATTGAAATAACACATCCCGAGAATTCAAGAATTAAAAATTATACACTTATTTTATTAACTTACTTGAATCCTTTATCATCATCAACTCCGTTGACTTGTCCATTTTGCTGCAGGCAACAATCTTCCTTTTTGCCATTGACGTCAAATGGGCTGCCACCCTTGTTGTCCTTATTATTAGCGCTCGAATTTTGTGTCTGATTTTGCCCTTGTGCTTCTTGTTTGACATCGTTATTACCAGCTGGGCTCTCTTTGGCCGTAGGGGATCCACCTAATACATATTCCACCATTTTTACACCTAGACCGCTCGTTGAATCGCGTGGTGACAATATGGAAGCATTGTCAGCGCCACTGCTGCCGATCTGAGCAGGAAATGCACGACGAGAAGACATCATAGCTTGTGACACTTCTGCAAAATAACAAAGTTCATGTAAGTTATTTTCTGACTGTAGTATTGCGTTTAAGAAAGTTATGAGAAAGATGTGAAGGCGTTGTGTCGTATTGGTAAAACTTGCAGGAAGATGCATCGTCATGCACAACCCACTGAGAGAAAGAAGTTAAAGATATTGTAATACAAAAAGGAAGTCAAAGGTAACCGAAAAAATATGGTTTTTGTAGTAGAAATATAAGCCATTGATCTAACTAATTATGTAATATTTTAAATATAATAAATTTCGTGCAAATGATTCGTGATAATGATGTATAAATTATTTTACTAAAATAAAATACTAGTTCAGTGAATTGCGTATATTAAAACTAATTACTAAAATATCATCCATAAACGGACCAAGTAAAAAACAGATACATTTAAGGATTTATCTTTAAACAATACATGAAGGCATATAAATCAATATTTGAAATCGCTTTTGGTGCAATATTAAACATGATAGAGTTAATTATTGTGTCTCTATGCAAATTTAGTTTTTTGTATCTGTTTGGCAACCTCAACAAATTCGTATTCCTCTGCGAGTCAAATTCTTGGAAATATCAAAACGATACAACATCCATGGAACATCCAACTTATTGTTCTTATGATCACCATATACACATTTTATATTTAATTTAAATTAAATAGAGCCTTAAATCGTTAATAATTATAATTTAATTTTTTTTTACTCATATTTAAATTACAATCAGCCTTATGATTAAAAGACATTTAGGTCAGTAATTATTCTGAGACTTTACAAGGCTATAATGTTTTTAGAGAGCTACCCATTGGTAAGTTTTCTAATTTATGAATATGTATGTATGTAAGTTTGATGTAAATGAAAATATACAGATAATTTATAAAAGCATATAGTTTAAATAATAATAATAATCATAATAATAATAATAATAATAATAATTCAAAAAGAGAAAAATGAAATTTTTATAAATTATAAATATAAAGTCTATTATTAGTGAGTTAACTCTATTAATGTTGTACTTTTGAGACTGAAATGACATGTATTATTATAATTTAACATAACATACAGATTATGACTATTTATTATTTACAATTAATAAGTTCAGCATTTACAAAAAAAATATTCTTCCCGTAAATATATCGTTTTATGTATCAACAATGCTCTTTGGAAAATTCCATTCGTTTCAAGAACGAAGAAGATAAATACAAATTATTCATCCTCGACAAAAACTTCTGCAAACAAAATGCAAAAACGCCAAGGAAACTTGAAGCTTCAATCAACTTGTAACCAAATGGATAAAACATTGATTAAATTAATTTAGATAATTATTAAAAAAAACAACAAAGTATTTGTAAAAAACAATTAATCAATATTGAGTTGTTGCAAAACATAATTTGAATATCTTGAAAATGGAAAAAATAAATTAGAAAATATTTTACAAAATAATTTGTGTTACGCATTCTGCATACCTAATTATATTTATAATATTCTTGAACGAGTAAGGAATCTTTAAGTAGGGATTTTGAAAGTTTTGATGAATCCACCTCAACAATAATTTGAAAATAAATTGCGTCATTTGGGGATAAGTTACTTGCGATTAATGAAATATTTTTAGCCAGTAATAATAAACGACTTTAAAGTTCAGACAGATGCTCATTTGTAAACTTTTTTCGAATTGCAATTAATAGCAAATGTGTAAATTAATTAGGTACAATTTGTACTGTTGGAGCTGTGGAAATGTGTGATATTTCATAGAAGTAATTTACAAAAAGGATTATAGTGAATGATGGAATTGAAGGCTAGAACAATTTTTACTATTTATTTTTAAGAGTTTTAAGATGATACATGAAAAAATCATTGAAAGATACATGTTGTTGCTCATTTTATTGGATATTAAATGCAAGTGTATAATTTATAAATAATATAAATCAATAAACATGAATTTGCAATCATAATTGCAACAAAATTTATGATCAATTTTGCTCAATCTTATTTGCCAAAACTACGGTTTATCTGGTTCATAATAAATCCGGAGAAAAAAAACACGTAGAAAGATCGTAGCAAAAACTATAACTAGTACATAAATACGATTTTACGTTAACCACGAACAGATGGTTAATTTAATGGCTGTGATAAGTTGAAGGTTAAACCCATACAAAGACTTTTAAAGAAGTCAGAAATGCCACACACAGTTTACAAATGCAGAACCGAGCAACTTTGAGACCGCTCGTTCGTGGTTGCTTTTCATGATTCATTAGATAATAAAGAAACATGATGTCAGAGAAAAAGAAAATGATTTGATTCCATCTAAATCATCATTGAATATTTTTTACATCAAAACAATTTATAAACTCATCCAGAACGATAATACAATAGAAATAATACTGTTGTTTTTTGTCGATTCATTTGTTTTTATATAGTAAAGATAAAAACAAATCAAGAATATAGATATTATTACACAACGAGCAAAAATTATGTTTATGATGTTGTATATAGCTAAGTAATCAATACTGAATACAATTCTCTATATATCAGGAAAAATTATTATTATATAATCTGATTACACTGTCATTAAAAGTTGTAGGTACGACAATATTTCTTGGTATTTTTCCAATCGTAACTAATTGGATATTCTAAAGGCATTTCAAGCAAAACGAAGTATCGATTCTTTAAAATTCTTCGAGCTGAACGGGATATCAGTGATAAATATTTCACAATTGTATGATATAAAATACCTATACAAAATACTACAAACATTGAAGGCAAAGAGATTACAGAGAGTACGGTTGTAACTGAAAAATCAATAAACAATATTACGAGCTATATATAGAAGAGGCATTTATAACACGACTATAGAGAAATCAATTCTTATACATTTTCAATGCAGATAACGTAATTCGACATTTACATTGCGCAATAGCACGTTTAATGAAGCGCATCTGGATTTCGAATTAACTTTCAAATAGTTGAAAAAATGTGATTCAATTAAATAGTCAGAATTAACACAAACTTTAATTAATTTTATTTCAACGCGGGTAAACATTGTAACAGCAATTACGAACGTATAGCAGTTTAAAAGTAGTGAGCACGTATAAAGCATTAAAAGCCCAACACCAACGATAATAACTCTCTAACTCATTTTATAAAAATTAAGCAAAAAAATATATTCAACTTTTATTCTACTAATTAGAAGATAAAAATTCATTTAACTAATAAATGCATTGGTTCAACAGCGGATACAAAATCCTTTACATCCTGGCTTCCTGCAACATCTGCCAGTCTCAATTTCATTAGACCGTAAATTTTGCGCAAGATCAATTAAAAGTTAACATCGGTGTCAAACTCACCTTGTGTGGACCACGTGCTGTCCCTCCAGAGTTGTTCGTGCGGTGCGGGCAGGTGCAAAGGCGGCAGCGGCGGCTTGCAATCGCCAGCCGCCTTGTTATCCCATAGTTTCTTGGCCGAGGGCGCCATCTGCGAAAACAGAGAGATCGGGTTAGTGGAGGAAGAAGAATATCAATTAGGTAAATATGGGTCAGGTAAAAGACATAGAAAATAAACAATTTCCTATAATATATTATAATTATCACACAACCATTTTAAGTTTATTGTATTTGCACTGTGTGCACCAGATGTACATAATTTTCTTAATTTAAATATTAGTATAAAGTTTCTATACGGTTAAATTTGTCTAGATAAATACGAACACATTCAGGCAATTACAAAAGCCACCCCGAGGATCATCAAATCGCACTTGCCAGAGAACCCTACGCTACAACACTACCAGGGCAAAATTATAAAAAAAAAATTATGTTACATTAAGATATGCCAATTTTCAAAATCTCTTCCAATGGTCAGAACATTTCGTATTATTGGTCTTTATTTTCTACAGTTTCACTTGTTGGATAAGTGTAAAAATTACTATACAATAATAAAAATGGTCTACATTGCAAAGGGGCCGTTCAAGTATTACGTAAGCACTATAGGGGGGCCGGGGGTTGTTGATTTGCTTATTTTGGGTTGACATGGGGGGCAGGGGAGTCTGGATGATGATTACGTCATAGGTAGTATTTTTATTTTTTTATATTAATTGCAAAATGTTTACGTAAGCATGGGGTAGAGCCTTGCTCACTTTTGCTGACAAGGGGGATGGGGGGGGGTAAATAATTGTAATAAATCTGCTTATGTAATACTTGAACGATCCTAAACCTAATAAAATAAGTTTAATCCATTTCGCATAATATCGTGTGTATCTATATAAATCCTATAACGAAAGCATTCATAAGAATATTATCCTATTTATTATTTCTTTAAATAAGACGTCTTAGTCAGATTAAAGGCGTATGATTATTCAGTAATAGAATTCTGTGAAATGCTTTATCAGATGAAACAAGATTAATTACAGAACGCTTGACTGGCTAACAGATGTTATAAAACTTTAAATCTGTACTGGGTAAAATGATAATATTGAATTTTTTTTTATTTCTCAACAAGAAAGTAAGTGAATCAATTGATTATGAATTAATTAATTTAACTCATTTAATAAAATAATGAAAGTGTCAGGTTTTGGTTGTGATGTATCATCGAGGCAAAAATTATCTGGTTTTGTTGAAAGGGTAAATTATAGCTAAAGAAAATATAATGAAATATTTATTATTATATTTTGATTGGATTTTTATGAGTATTCAAGTATCTATTGCTTGCAATTACAAATCACCAAATTTTTAACGATATCATGTTCAGATTTTGATCAGTGCTCAGATTTTCACATTCAGAATAAAATATAGAGATATTCAGAAAAACCAATTTAATTATTAAGTTAAAGTTGTATCCGAATAAAACTTTAAAGGCGAATAACATTTGAATAGTCAAATATTATAAAACATTGAATATCACCGAGAAATAATCAGAAAACACGTCAAATTCTTCAGTAATTTTTATCAATATGACATCAACATTGCTAAAAAAATGAATATGTTGCTATGGTCCATTATTCACTTATGTGGGTTATTTATGGTTCATTAATCAATCAATTTTTTTAAAAAAATTTGGACACCCCTCCCCCTTGTTGATACGTGGTAATATCGAATATTACCCACCCCCTTCACTACCAAATATCACGGGTATTTTTATTTAGGAGAAAAAATGTGGAATTTTTGATTTTTTTGAAAATTTTTGCTTTTTCTTTTAAATTCAAGTAGAAATAAATACACGTAATATCTTACTATACCCCTCCCTCAACCACGTACCCCATTTTTTGTCAAATCCCCCACACTCTAAAAACCTCACGAGATTATTGGACGTCCCCTATAACTAGACAGTTGTAAATATATGAGCATAAAAAAATTTACTATGTAGTTTAATACATTATTGGACCGATTCTGCGCATAACAGAGAAATGTTACGGCATGGCATGTTACGCTCCGACTCCCCATACATTATGCGAATGAATCATACTGAATGCTGTCAAAATATCATGTATTTGCTGTTCATTCCGGCGTTTTAAACATAAACTACAACGTCACTCGTATCTTACCTAAGAGGAATCAGAAACACACACTTATCTAACATCGTTTTTTTGACATTTGTGCGGCTTTTAGGTTATGTTTTGTATGAAAAAACCTGAGAAATTCGCCTGACTGAACACCAACCGCATAACTTTTGTCTATATTACTATGGAAAATTCTTCATAACATGAACTTATCATAACATTGCGGCAGAATCGGTCCCTATATTTCGAAACATCGTCCATAATCTACATAACCTATGCTTCGAATGCAAGTTTTAGTAAAGTGATGATGAAGAGTACAACTCAGGAGGAAAACCAATGTCGAAGCATACCTGAATGAGGCGCCTTGGTCGTTGCTCTCACGACACGTCGTGAACTCTAACCTTCACAACACGTTTAAAACAATACACATAAAACCGTGTCCTATGTATTGTACTATATAATATTTTGAACAATATGTGAAACTCAGGAAACTTTTTATACATTTGTAAAAATGTTGTCCGTGATCATATGAATATTCAAAACAATGAAATAGTGGCATATAATTACTTTAACTGTGTTTGTAATGAATTCAAGGAAGCATATAATCATGCATAAATCAGATCTTACTATAAATAAATTGATGAATACATTATCTTTAATGCACATGTTATCATTTTACTATAATATTCAGTACCTGATTACTTAAATTGATTTTAAGTAAAAATTTTAAATAAAATTAATTAGATTTTATAAGACACAAAAAAACTGCTTTTAATATTATTAAAAGTTGGTGATTGTTGTTTCGAAAAATTCGCTAAAAATTATTTAAGGAGACTGTTAATTGGATTCGTAAACTTTCTTAATACTATGCAAGTGCGAAAACTAAGTTCGTTAAGCAGAAAACTAATTAAGGCATCGGGATGTAGAGAACGAAAATGCAAATTGATATAGAATACTCGAAATAATTATGTATAGGCACTACACTTAAAATGCAACGATACTTATGACATACTAAGCCTAGTAATACAAATTTATAATAAGTTAAAAATTATGTACAGTTAAGAATGAACCCTTTCCACTCGGATACCGAAAATTCATATAAATCTCGGAATTCGCGAGAGGTAATGGTTAACATATAGATCAAATTAAAAAATTTAGATTAGTTGTAGAGTATCATAGAATATCTTTTATATATATATATAAATAAGTCGGGTTTTCCTTCCTGACGAAATAACTCCAGAACCGATTTCGACAATTTTGCATTCGTTGGAAAGGTCTCGCGCTCCGCAAGGTTTATAGCTAAGAAAATTAGTGGTGCAAGGCATCGTGCCCTGATGCATATTGCTGGAACTTCACGCACCGCAATTGAAAATTCGAGTAATAAAAATGATCAATAATTGCAATTGTTTTAAATAATTGCAAAAAGATTATCTTCTATATATATAAAATAAGTCGGGTTTTCTCTCCTGATCAAATTTTTCCTTTTCAAATATAAAACAAACAAAAAAATTCTTCATCTTTCTCCCGAAACCATCTGGTGGCGAAACGGAGTTCGTCGGGTTTGCTAGTTACTATATAAAAAACACGTGTAAATTTCATGTATCTGCCTATTACATGTATCTGCCTATTACCTTGTTTATTACATATCATGTACCTATCATGCACGAATCGATTGATATCCGAGAGGCATCTCGCCTCATCCCCAGCGTGCAATAACGTCGTCATGTCAAATAAGAAGATATCTTAGCATATCTCGTAGGTTAAGAGATGAGCGGTACATCATATCTATTCCGGGGACCTGTCACATACAGAAACAGACCTGATTGAGCATTTTCGCCATTAGTGAGCCGAACGATTCGATTCGAGCCATTTGAGAAAGATCTGATAGCTCCCCGTCCGAGGGGGTTCGGTCAATAAGAATTCAATCTGATTAAGGTCGAACATCAAGAAACACATATACCGCAAGTATCTCGGGTTCGGCAAGTTCGCGTTCAGCTTGTGTGATTAAAATAGACAAATTGCATTAGTATGCTGTGTTGTGTACTGGATCGAACCGATGTGGGAAGCTGGACTGAACGGAATAGGAAAATCGCACAGTCAGAGGAAAATGTAATCGCTTAACATATGGCAGTAACAAGTCACTGTAACAAGTTTTCGAGTAAAATTTGGACAATACCACAGAGAATCGATGGCTCGAGCATTTCAGCAAATGCAGAGTTATTCGGGAAGATAACAAGTAATGCAAGTAGCCCGTCCAAAACATAAAAATTAGCAAATATATTGAAGTAAAACTTCTTTAGGGGCAACTAAAGTGTAAAAATGCAACGGAAGTGCGTTACGGCATATAAGATAAGAGCCGAGTGCCAATGATTCGTCATTCGCTCTTGATGATATCATTTCTATACGGGTCGATTGTGATTAGTCGTCGCGTATGTGAATAAAGATCTGTCGTTGTATACGTACCGATATAAACAAGGAAATCGACATAGATAGATAAACATTTCGAAATTACATCGTAGTACAAATCTTGATTTAATGAAAAGTGCCTGAATCAGAAGAATATTTAACCCTGTTCCTTGAAAATAGTAAAACAAATTAAACATTTGTTCTAAACATAAGTTTATAGATTAGAAATTATTTCTATATTATTCGTAGTTTCTATAATTCTTTGAAGCCATTAAAATGGAAAATATTTTTTAGGCAAGATAGATATTACAGCTGTTCGAAGAATGAGATTATATCGCCAGCGAAAAAGTAAAAAAAACATATAAGCAGTCAATGAATGTTTGTTAATTTTAATTACATGAAGTTCTTCAAACACAAATATTATATGATGATGAGTGAAATTGTGAAAACAATATTTGTTTAAGCGTTGTTTAACATAATCCACCGTGTAAGCGAATATTATAGAAGTTATTAATCAGCAATTACTTCATTTCTCTAATAATGGTTCATTTCTAAATGATAATTACAATGACAAACC